CACTTCCTGATGGGAAGGTGGTGACTGGAGATGGCACAAAAGTCAGGATCAGGAGGGCTCTGGGTAATATTTGATGTTGCTTTCTATTCATCCCTCCCTCTTTCTCTTCCAGAGCTGGTGTACATGCTTGCAGAAAGAGGGATGTTGGCCTCTTTGACCCCAGCAGATACAGCAAAGCTCTGAGGACAGTTTCCTGGAGCGTAATTGCTCCGTGTCATTTTGCTGCCCTTGGTCTGGCTGGCTAATTTCGGCTGACTTGTCCCTATAATCAATCACACAGATGCTTTTATAAGGAGAGGCATTTATATATATAAAAAAATTATCATGAAAATCAATGTCAGTGCCAAGAATGAAACAGTCAGACAAGTTTCCTTGTATTCAGAACTCTGTTTGGCAGAACCCACATGAATGATAGGTGTCATTCATATCACACCAGGAAACAGCTCCAAACTCCCTTTCTTGACATTTTTTTCTTCCAAACCAATAGTTCACATTATTCCATCCGTAACTATAAATGTCATAAGTAATTGTACAATAAACCTGAGGCTCACATTATATTGGTTCTGCTTAACTTCATTCACATGAAGATCAAAGTACCATAAAATGTGGCACACTATTGTTTCTTAGTCTTGCACATAGACACCTGACCTGATAAGTAATGACTTAACTTGCTTTGCTTTTATCAGCTGGAAGTGTCAAAACAGCTCTCCTTTTTGTGTAGGCCAAACACATTCCACTTTCAAGAAATCAATACATCACAAAGTTTATTATCTTATCTAAATAACAATAAACAGTGCCTTGTGTGTCAAGGGCAAATCAAGCATGTGGCATTTCCCCCTTTTCCATTATCAAAGTTTCTAGCTCACTGACATTCACTAGCCTTTGGCCTTGRGAGATGGAGTTCCTTTCTCCCTTGTTTTTCTAGGACTACTCAGTTTAAACCATTGTTTTACAGAGGCAACGAAACCATGCCCCTGCAATGGCTAGGTSATATATGTTATGAGACCTGCCGTTGGCTTGGTCTGTGGTCTCAGTAGCTCTGAGCACTTTTGCAAAGCTCCTTGGCTAGTGCAATTGCTTTTCTGTGTTCCTGAGAAGATGGACTATATCATTTCTGCACTATGYTTGAATTAATGGGTATGAGAGTATGAGAAATGGAATTCATAAGGAATGTCACAAACCCAGCCTGTCCTAAAACATATGTAAATTAATAGAAGAAATTAGATGACTCTGTAATATGAAGCAAATGACACGTACTTCAAAGTAAGGTAAGTAACTATTCAGCAGCCCCTACATTGCCCTTGCTTTTTGGATGGAATGAGCAGCCCCACAAATGGGTTTCAGCTACAGGATACCTTCCTGCATGGTGGTGTAGGTTCAGCTTTACCCAGCCTTGTTTGAAAAGCCAAGGTTTTGCTCTGCCAAGATAAGACATCTCTTTGGGAAGACTTTTTTTTCTACTACCGATTCCAAGACCTTCTGGTTGGTTTTCCTTTTGAACAAGCCCTTCCAGAACTTTAATTCTCCTTGATTCACCTCTGTGAAAGCATTTCATGTAGTAAAACTTGAGGTGACTTGTCTGTGCCACTTGGAGACTCAGGAACTGTTGGTGCTCAGCAGAAAGTGCCTTTCGTTGCTCCTTTTCCTGAGGAGGAGCTACAGCTCTTTTACCTGTGAGCTGCTAGATGTCCATTGAGTCACCTMAGTAACACAGAGTAACTGTTCCCGTTGATGTCTGGTCAGAGATAAATAATTGTCATTTGATTTTTTTTTCATACATATAATTTTTTTAGCCACTGTGCGATAGATTTGACTTCTGGTAACAAACAATGACTGCTCATGAGGCTGCAAGCACTAGGGGCCTGTTTTAAACATCTAAGTTTGATGGTGGGTCATGAGACCACCCATTGACTTGGTCTTGTAGCCTCCATAGCTCATAGCACTTTCACAAGGAGAGCAGAACAGCAGAGAGGGACAGTTAGATGAGAACTGTGTTAAGGTCCCATTCTGTACAGATCCTTTTTTTCCTTTCACAGCCTATCTGTGCATTTTGAGGGTAATTGTCCTAGGTTAAAGGATGATTAAACCAATTTAAATTCCCATAATCCTTGTGGCAGGGGGTGCATTCCAGCTGCATCCAGCTGTGTGCTCTGCTCCCCTGTTGTCATCCCAGGTGTGCTGAGGACCCATGTCTGTGCCCACACAGAGTCAGGATGGGGGTGCATTTAAGTGCTGGGCTCAGCCCCTTTCTGACAGGCTCTTATCTGAAAGGAAAAAAGGGATCATCCCATCTCTAACATACAACAGTCTCAATGAGCAATTAATCCTACTAAGAATTTGTAAGAGCACTGCCCTGTTTAAGTGCTCTCTCATCTGGAGATAGATAGATAGATAGATAGATAGATAGATAGATAGATAGATAGATAGATATCAGGGAGACTGATAACCCTCTCAAGAGGTGCTAAGGTAATTTTTTTCCATTTAAAAATGGAGCATACAGGCATGAGTCCCATTAACTCAGGCAGTAGCATCTTTTGCCATTCCACAGCTTCAAGCTGTTAGTAGAGATTGCTACAGAAAAGGAGCCGTCCTAATCTTAAATCCCCATAAAGTATAGCAGCTTCCTACACAAGGATGAAACCAATCAGTACCTCTGATTTGAGACATAATATACTCTCTCCCCTTCACACGTCCATGATTTCATATCAAACAAGACACCAATATAATCAAYACCATAATAAATAGCTTCTTTGCAGACACTGGAGAAAGCTCTGCCAGCTGCATTGCAGGTASTTCCGTGAAAGGAATCTCACGTTACTCTCTCTACCCTTCTTCTCCCCGCCAGGCCTGTTTGGTATAGAGGAGTCCATTGGAACAATCATYGGGGTGGTGGCTGCTGGCATTGGAGGCCTGGTGGTTCTGATTATCGTTTTAACCCCTCAGCTAAGGAAGTGTGTCCTCTGCATGAAGCAAGGCTCTCACCAAGGTATGGAGCACACAGCAAGGGCTGAAGTCGCTTGCTGGAAAAATAAACCCAAAGAGGTCTATCCAGAGGCACCCTTTTAGTTGAAGTAGAAATCAGCCATTAACTAACCTCTGGTTGGGTAAGGGGTAGATGGCAAAGGTAGCTCTTTGCTGATATATAGCTCTTTGCTGATATTGTGTATACTTTCATGTACTAAAAAGTTACTTGATTAAAGAGTCACCTATAAATAAAATAATAGGAACCTTCTTYAGCTGCCACCTTCAGCAAATGGTGGTTCAATGAGATGCTCGTTCTTCTTTTAATGTTTTTGGGTCACATTGGGTTCTTTTAGCTTTCCTTTGAAGGACCATTCTCCTTCACACCAAAGAAATATTGTTCTCACATGCAAAAAAACTACGGTGACCGAGGCAAATGTATGTTTGTAAAGCTCAGTAATATCTTTTATTAGATCAATTTGGAAAAAAAGTAAAAAACCAAACAAACAGGCTGATTGCCTGAAAGCTTGCCTGCTTTTTCCATCTCTATCAGCTGGTCTAATAATAGCACACTGACACCCAAGGCTGGATTTTGGAATGAGCTTGGTTCCCATTTCACACAGCCAAAGAGCTGGGAGATCAGCTGACCGCAAGATTTGTAAAACGGGACTTTTTTAAAAAAACTCACTTCAACTTCAAAAAGGGGAGCCGTGTTATTTGGAGCTCGCCCTGCAGCCCTCAAAATACTCCTTGGCCTCCCGAGAAGATTCCCGTGCTCAGGGCGGCAGCTCGGAGCTGCGCCTGGTGTCCGCTGGAGCGCTGCCGATGCCGCACGGCCGGGGCCCCGGGCGCAGCGAGCCCTTCCCTTCCCTCTCGCCCTCGCTGCATGAGCACACACATGTGCACGTGGCTGTTGCCACAGACACCTCTTCAGCCAGGGCCCCTGCAGGAGCTGAGTTCCCTGACACCTGCAGGAGCCTGGGAAGGGTTTCTCGCTGTGGTGTATTAACTCRGCATCGCTCTTCTCTCCTTCCCTTCCTGCTCAGCATAGCTCAGGCTGCAGTARTACGGCAATCACGGGAAGATGCAAAGACGAAACGGTTTCTTACGTGGAACAACCTGCCCTGCTCTGTAAGCCAAAGGCTATCTCTCGGTGTAATAAAAGTCTCCACCTCACTACACGTTGTCTTTGGCATTTTTTTAAAGTATATTTTAGCTTCAACGATCACAGTGGCATATTCAGCATACTCCTACAGTAAGGAGCAGAACAGCCTTTTRTAAAGAAATGTGGATTATCATCTCCTGAAGCCCCACTTAATCTGGTCACATATCTCAGAACCTAGTCTCTGGTCAGATGAGACACCTGGGCTCTTTCCCTTTACTTCTTGTTTTAAAACATGATGTTCTAAGTTTGTCGCTACCCTTCAAAAGAGACAAAAAATGTGGTTGTGTGGCCTATCCAGGCTACCCAGTTTCCAACAACCAACAAGGGAATCTCAAGTTACTCCCCTCAAAATACTTTGCTTCCACGGCTGCAGCTGTCATGCTAACCTGTCTGCCCCTCTCACTGCAGGAGYTCTTGTCACGGTGACTTGCTCCAGACTATCATCTCTTAGCAGAGCAGCAGGGAAAGCCCAGTTGGGCACTACCCCTGGGTGACAGTGGGATTTTACTGTAACCTTTCAGATGAAAATATAGTGTTTTAATACAAGCCTCAAATAACCTTAAAAAAAAAGACAGATTTTTGACATGAATAATGATTTACATGGCCCTAGTTTCCTGATGTGATAATAACTGCATGCCAGGCAGAGAGCAAAATGGAACATGGCAGTATTTGTACTGGACAGCAGTAGATATTARCCTTATATAATATTATCTTTATCCTTATTTCAGTAGATGGAGGCAGCATATATTTTACCCCATCTCTCCTCCCCATAAACCCATGGCTACTACAAATTCTCTCATGCGACTGTTAGCTCTGATAAAAGAGGAACATTTTTATTCCATTGTCTTCTGATTAAAAGGGTTAGAAAGAAAGGTCCTAGAAAAATTATTCTGGTCCTCCGTATCCCAAATGACAGGTGGGATGAGTCCGTCCACATAAAAAGTTTGGCCAGAGGATTAAGTGTGGGTTGTAAGGGGCTGCTCCCCAGCACTTGACTGCTTCTTGGTCACACAGACACACCATTTTTTCACATCGGTCTGTCAGGTTATCTGTAAAAGAAAACGTGAACCAAAGATGAGAGATTCCTACTGGACTAAAGAGAGGGACAGTTATACGAGTGAACAAGCAAAGCAATTTTTAGGGAAAMCAGGCTCTGGAGGAGATGTAACAGGCGAGAGTAAGGGACTTAGCAGAAAACTGCATTCTGTGTAAGCAGGAGGAGAGAAGGACCACTGTGCAATATTGTGCATAGATTTAATAATCCCTGTCCTCTCTCTGTCCACGGGGCTAGCCTTAACTATGACCAAGAGCATAGGAAAGCAGGAGCTAACCRTAAGCCAGGAGTGCTTACAAAATCTGCTCAGTGCAGAGCGCTGCCTGCTTCTAGAGCTGTGTGAGCAAGGGGTTCAGTGACAAAAACTGCAAAATCAACCAACCAAGCAAAAATACAACTATTTTAGCTTAGCTGAAGCTTTCTTAAAGTCAGCCAACTCCTGTTTTTACCATATCTCTGCAAATTGGATCAATTTCAAAAGAATGCTGCTTAGAAAGGAAGAGTATCTCATAAGGACCATTCTCAGGAGAGGATGTGACATGTGAAAACTGGAGGGCACAGAAGCACCAGCACGTATACTTCATTCACACTCCATAAATTGCATTTAGAAGTGCTAACACCTCTCTCTCCAAGGGAGAGAAGCCAAGGAACCCCTTGGTAGGGTCAGACACCTGATTTTTATGAGCCAGCAAAACTACAGCAGCTGATCAAAATGATATATAAAGAACTACATATGTCATATAGCTAAATATATGACTACATGCCTATGTAAGAACCATAAGGAACATTAAAGGAACTAGCTCATATGACTATATTACAAAAATCTGATTTTGGATAAGTGAATCCCATCTCACCTATAGATGGACTAAGAGCAGGCATTGGGCAGTATTCATATATCATGAAATACCATAATATACTTATATTTATTTATAGTTATTTCTATACCTATTTGTATTTATATATAAATGACATTCATAATCTTTAAAGGCACTGTGCCTTGTTTACTTGAGGTTGCTACTATGGCTTATCTAACATCTTCCAAACTGTTCACTAAGCCTAGTTTAGAGTATGACTTCATGGCAGTGCATGTAGGTTTTGCTCCAAAACCAACTGCAATGAGTTAAGAATCTTTCCAGATTTCACTGGACTTTGCCTCATCCTAGCATCCGTTATGTAAGAAGAATCCATATTCCTTAAGCTTTTCTGAGAAGTAAACTAGTAAACAGTGCTTCAAGAGGTCAACCTAGATTCTACTGATGAGGAGTCAACACTAAGCCCAGCAGAACAGTCAGTGAATCCTCCTCAAGCCTTTGCCTGGACATCAGTTGAGTAATTAATGACATTTTGTTTAACTAATGCTTGTTGGTCAGGCTGGAACAATCTCAGCAGCTCGGGRCATTCTTTTAGGACATATGCTGAACACGGCTCATGCACCTGATACTCCTGATGTCTACAGTTAGGATTGTTCCTTCATAGCAAAAAGAAATATGTGGGTTTTTTTTAATATCAAAACAGCTAACAGAAGATTCAATAGCCAGGTGTGGAAATATGGGTAAGAGCTAAAGTGCAGTATGAATTGAAGTAACATATTTCTTAGCCTTTATATTATAGGCTCTGTTTATATTATAGGTTGTACAAAGCAGCATAGGCCACTCTGGAACTCCGAAAAGAGAAACTGCAGCTGTGTTGAGTCATGTCCTACWTCTGCTGTTGGTCTTACAGTTACTGGAGAGGTTGAAGATTGCACCAGTAGAATATAATCTTTTAGTAAGGTAGAAATAGTCTTGTAACATTCAGGTGAGGAGTTATGATGAGATGGGACAAGTTTTTTTCTCTCATATGATTCTTGTTGAGCTTTCAAATTTTTCTACAGTAGATCTGTTCTATAAAGCATTTTATCACCAGAGACTTCCGAAAGACTTAGGAGTGACAAAATCAGGAATGTAAGTCAACTGGTGCATGTCAAAACTAAGTGGAGGATGCCGCTCGTGGGCTGTGCCCACGCAGCTGAAGACCTCCTTGCCTGAGTAGAGCTAAGTGCAGCCTCCAAGGCCTTACTCATAGTGTTTATTCAGCCTGGGGAGGACACAGATTGCCTGGAAGTGATGGTGCTGGGGCTCCAGCCTTCCTCCCAGCTCCAGCTGGGGAATCTTAGTGCCAGCAAGTGCAGCCATCCAGGGAGGTAATGGAAAGAGCAGAGAATATTGGTGGCCCAAAGCAGTTTCAGAGCTAGCTCAGCCAGCACAGATGATTTATTTCTGTGGTTCACAAAACTCTTATGCAAGCCCATGAACCTGTGGAGAGGAGGAATTAAATGAAGCCAAATGAAGCAGGGTTATTTCTTACCGCACCGCACCACGTTCTGCTCACACTCCCACTGGTAGCGCTGCAGCTTCGGGTTGCAGCCTTCCTTCTCCGCCTTGTCGTAGCAGCAGTCGTGCCCGTGGCAGCACCTTGGAGAGACAAGAAGGTAGAGTTTGGGCTCGCACGTTCCACACGCTTTTCTCCGGGGTGTTTCCACAAAGGAAAGATCCATTCACACACAGCTACTGGCATCTCCACTTGCCCTGGCTCGTCAGAAAACTGTCTTTTAATGAACTGAGTGTCTACAAAAGCTTGCAAAGTTTAAGAAACATAATAATACCACATTTGCTCATATGACAACCATGCTTCTTCCTCCAAGGTTTTGCCCTCAGGAATGCCATGTGGACATTTCATAGGCCTACCACTGAACATGTTAATCCCAGCTCATTGAAAGGGCGCAAAAGTATTACCGTGAGCGCATGGTAAATGCTCACTGGCTTAGGCTTAAGCCCACCTCCAAGTTTGGGCTCAGCATGGTCCTCTACAGTCAGAAACAGAGTTAGTTCTTCTGCTGAGGTAGATCTATTGGGTGGAATTCAAGGCTTTTTGGCCCACTCAGGTATCGGGGACTGGCTACAAGCTCTTGAGCCTCAAAGATGGGATTCATATCAGTTAGCTTTAGATCCTTACACCTAACACATTGATCTAGACTCTCACTAAGCATGTCTGCTGCACAGTTCATATCGTCATAAGGTAGAGGTATAAAATAATTTTTWAAAAAATTGCATTCAAAAGTGCTGATTGCTTTCCATTGTCAAACGAGATGGCAGCAACAGGTGTGACTAGCTCAACTGTTGGTATCTGTATTACAAACTATTCAGTGAGATAATTCCTGCCATTGTTTACTCTGGAATTTATAGGATAACTTGACTCCATTCATATTTTGTTCTGATAAATGAAATACACTAAGAAAAAAAATCCAGCCTTTATAGAAGTTTTTTGTTGGATAACAAAGGTTGGTATCCTTCAACAAGGACAACAGCATCTTCGCTATTAATAATGAAAAGGGGAAATAACTCCATGTTCTACCCTGTTCTTGCTTGGTTTAATGTGAAATATTATGCAATGCAGGCAACACATTTGATTACTCGTGGCAATGATTTGAGTTTATTCCCCTCAATATGGATTTATTTTTTCAATTTCATCTTCAAAGGTTGGAGCTAGGGAAGAATGATCTCTTGTTTCTTCAGAAGTTCTCTCTGAAATACCACAGGGACAATACAGAGGAACCAYTCTACTAATTTTCTAGAGTTTAGACAGGCTGACACTAGGGGGAAATAAAGAGCAGACAGCGTTTAGAGGAATTCCTGAATCCTGGATAGGAATCACAGAATCACAGGATGGTTGAGGCTGGAAGGGACATCTAGAGATYATTTAGTCCAACCCCCTGCTCCAGCAGGGACACCCAGAGCACGGGGCACAGGGCRGCATCCAGGCGGGTTGGGAAGATCTCCAGAGGAGGAGACTCCACAGCCTCCCTGGGCAGCCTGTGCCAGGGCTCTGGCACCCTCACAGGAAAGAAGTTCCTCCTCCCATGGACATGGAACTGCCTGTGTTTCAACTTGTACACATTGCCCCTTGTCCTGTCACTGCCACCATTGAGAAGGGTTTGGCCCCTTCCTCCTTACATTCTCCCCTCACATACTTATACATATTGATCAGATCTCCTCTAAGAAGCTGCTGAAGTGGTCGTAAAGCAGCATAGCTGATTTAGCTTCCAATGGATTAGCGAGTTAAGTTGAAGTTCATCCTCAAGACTGGGATGAGTGTATTTGAAAAGCCAAAGAAAGCATCTGAAATGCACTCTGAGATGTGATTCCTGGAAAATGGAACAATCCTGCAAGGATAAAGATCCCTTCTGCAGGAAGTGGGGCTTCTCCAGGCACCTGTTGAAAGCTATGATGAACTTACCTGAGAGCTCAGGAGCATCATAAACCTCATCCCCTTGAGCTGCAGGAGCATTTTGCCCKTTTAGAAACTGGTTCATGGACATGAGGGCTGGTGTGCCATCTGAGGTTATAAAGCGCAGGGGAAAAAAGAGAAGTAAAAAAAAAAAAGAAAGAAAAAAAAGAAATTCCACTCATTGATGTGAACCCTAATAAAGTCACTGGAATTAGATTTGAGGAGTGAATCTGCAGTCAAATGAAGTAAACTAGTGTCAGTGATGAAGCAGTGTGGGGAGAAGGAATGATACAAAAGCAGACAGACAGAATGGGGACTTCAAAGTCTGTGGGCCAAGGAAGTGGAGTTGCTCTTCCTGGAGAGGCAGAAGGAAGGAGCACAAAAAGAAGTGAAAAGAGATCCTGGAGGAGACAAAAGATGGTCTGTGAATCAGGCAAAGAGAATTAAGTGAGGACTAAAGAAGTGTGCTAGCTAGCTGTGAGAACTACCAGCTGTTTTGCTGGCTTTGCAAAATCTAGAGCACTGCATAAATTCTGAGGACTGTTGGCTTTGGGGAACAATTCTGCTGCCACTTACACCATTTCCTCCYGACGATTTCACCTAGTGAATCAGAATGGCATGTAGCTTACACCAACATAAAGCAAAAAAGACTTGGGCCCATATTTTGYAAGCATTTCTTTTAGATGCTCTTGAAGAACTGGTTTGGACTGAAGCGTGAGGGAACCTATTGTCCTTTGCCATCCTCAGATGGTCACATCTTGTCTGGAAATGTCCTTTCCTGCACTCAAGGTAGAATGTACTGTTAAGCTTTTAATAGCCTGCTAATATTTAGTTAGACCAATTTGAATGGTATTAGTGTGGCTCAGCGCTGGTCAAGTATGAATAATCAACTACAGTTGTGTCATCTAGTTAATCAACAACCTATTAATCACATCCATGCTTCAAGACAGCTCTTACAGCTACATACAGCTCTGGCTGGCCAACCGAGACCAGCTACCCAAAACACTGCAGTGAACACATGTCATTGAGGCAAGATCTTGTCATGCCCTGTTTGCCGGGTTAACAGCACTGTCACCACTCTGTCCTTTTGTKTTGCTTTAACTCAGCAAGTGAGGAAAACCTGCCTCTTCCCTGTGTGTTTGCCATGACTCAGATAAGCCATATATGTCATCCTGCTTTTCAAGGCATTGAGTATTTCCACAGAGATGCTGAGCACTTTGGGGTCCTGTTTTATGACATGGATGCTCTGTGCAGTCATCCTCTTCCAGTACTAGCTCCTGCTTAACAACAACTGTTTGTGTCTTCTACCATTTTCCTTCACATTACTGAGGGCTCCCAGGCTTCCTTCTGCAAAATGTCCCACAGAAACGTGGAGGCATTTCCTGGTCTGTACATCAAGGGCAGAATGGCACAGCCAGGTTGAAATAATGGGCCACTAACAGCCAGAAGACCCGGAGTTTGTTTGGGGTCTGCAGATATACAGCCTTGTGCTCAGAGGAACTGAGCGCATCTCTGGTTAAGCTGTCAAATGCCTCAACATCTTAAACATGTGGATCCAAGCCTTTTGTTCTGCAAGAACATCTCCAGGAGGAGAAAAGGGCAGGGAAATGAAGGCATTACAGCAATTTTAATTTTAACAGTGCTGCCACAAYCCGAGGGAACAGAACAAGGAAAGACAAACAAATCTATTGACAACAATACTATTATGTGGAAGAGACATCATTATGTCTTGAAGTGAAGGGACAAAGTGAGAGTGGAAGAAAAAAGAAAGGGTAATTACTAAAGATGCCACATCAAAGTCAGTATGTGGAATAAACCTTATGAAAGGATTACTCAATCGATGGCTTTTTTCCTTTTCCACAAGAAAAGAAGTCTAGACAGATTGACGGAACTACTCACAGGAAAATTACTCCTTTTGTAAGGGGCTCAGCAACAAACGCAGAAAGCATCAAATGTAGAAGTGTCAAGGAGATGAGTCATTTGGAATAGTGTTTGTTACTGAAGGCCAGTAGTTTTACCACTCCACTTCTTTCTTTCTTTTTTTTTTTTCTTTTCTATATAATGGAAAATATGGGAAGTAACGGGGCCAATGTAATTAGTGTGGGATACTCAGTCACTGAATTTGCAGTAGTTCTCAGCGACAGAATAGTCCTTCTGCAAACATAACATGGAAATTTTAGGGTAGATCTAATGGGACATTTCTGCTTCTTCCTACCTAAGAAAATAACTTAATTTTTTTTCCTTTTTTTCCCCAAAGGTTGCAGCTAAGGAACAAGAGTGAATGCACTTAAAGGATCACCCTTCCTTTTTACAAACTGGTATTTTGAGGCATTTCCAGTTCCACAGTCCTTTACTTCCTGCCATTACAGTARAATCCACATCCCAATAAAATCAAGCAGCAGCAAAAACACCCACTGGTGTGAATATTTTACCAGTGAATATTTTACTCCCTTTGTCTATTTTTTAGGAGTGCTAAAAACTATCATCTCCTGGAGGCACCTAAACTTAAGGTCACTCAATATTTCCAAAAAAAAAAAATAGCTTCTAGGTGACTCAACGCAGGCCTTCAGGAAGAGAAGCACCCCAAAATAACGAATGAAGTCATGTTTTACTGTAAAGGCCTGATGGTAAATAGCTAACAAAAATATAAACCMATTTACAGACACAGCTGTGCATAGCAATAAGCAGGTCAGGAGATACTACAGAAAATATCTCCAACAGCTGGATATTGCAGAACAGTTCAGCAGGTTTCTTGCCAGGGAACTACCTGTTGCCTTCACTCYTGACAAAAGCAGTAGCTATTTATCAGTGCTATCTTGTCTGTTGACTGGAGATAAGTGGAGAGACTTGTGTGCGCTGTCTTTCAGGTTCAACACAAGACAAGACCTCAGGCAAAGGGCTTGGAGCCCACAAGAACCCAGAATGCTAAAATTCACATGAAGGCTAATCACAAAACACAAGGCAGAAACCTTGCAATGAGCACCTTATAGATTCATTGCTTTTAGTCTTGGAAATAAAAAGCACAGAATCTGCCCTACCAACAGAGACAAGGGGAAATAACACCATGCAGTGGCAAGGCAATGGAGTCACAGGAGCACAAAGACGGAAGAATAAGGAGATGGGAGCTGTTTTGGGGCACACAGCTGGTCTTCCTCTTACCAGTCTGTTTTATCTTTAGGCCAGCCTCTTCCTCCCAGGCCACAGTAGCATCCATAGCCAACATATGCTAAAGGAGAGCGTCCCGTGCCACATGATACGGCTCCTGCCAATTCAATGATTCCTCGGGTGTGCAATGAATGGGATTTTGCCAGAGCACCGTTCCAAACTGCAAAGACACAGAGATTAAACACCATTTAAAGAACACCTCGTGTTCATTTTCTTGCATTCCTTAAAGGGAAATGTTGGTCTTTCCTGGTTGCTTTGGTGCAGCCTCAACAATCTAATGAACCATTACAGTCGCCCTGCAAAGGGGACTTTATAGGTGACTTATCTGAGGGCTGGGCTACGAGGAAGTAGATACAGAAATACCCAAGCAGGCTCCATGCACAGCCAGCCCAGTTCAAGCACAGCTTATTAGCTCTGGTACAGTAGCGTAGGGTTGCAGCTCACTTGCACCTGTAAATAGCATGGCCAGCTTTGCACACCACAGAGCCTGAGCTGGTAAGCTTTGCTAGGGCCAAGCCAGCTCCATACAGATGCAGCTGGGATTCACTGCATCCCCAAGCTCCCAAAGCTAGAAAGACTTCTTGGCTAAACTGCTGCACCAAGCAGGGCAGGAAGCAGCAAAGGACGAATATACAGTGTGACGTGATGGGGCTCTACAGATCAAATCACGTGCCTACATTTGCAAAGGCTTCTTATATTTTCCAAGTGTTCCTTACTATTCAGGATAGTTTAACCCCKTCTCTAGACAGCAAAGAGCGGACAAGTCTGTCAGTTTGGATATAGGAATATCCAAGTCCCCAAGGCTGCAAGGTATATCTTGGTAAAGAATAGAGTGCCTGAGTTGGCTAAGATGCMTGCACATTGGAGTCCTCTCGAGTACTCTGAACTGCTGGAATCATTTACAACGGCTTCTGTTATTACTCTTCATTAAGGTCATAACATTAGTTTGACTGCATTCATTTGAAAAAAGCATTGTGTCAGCTGAAGTGTGCACATAACACTTAAACTGATTTGGAGGTCTCTGAGACACAATTCTTTCAAATAATATTGTGTTTCCAAAAGCTAACTTGTACCCTTTTTTTTTTTTTTAATAAGCCACAGCTGCAGTAACTGTTGCAGAAACTGAGTGCCCTGACCCTCATTATCAAAYCACTTTGAAGCTCAGATACAAACTCTGATGCTTATCATGATAATGAGAGCAATAGACAGTCAAGTTTATTTCTTGGGTTTATCGAGAGGTACAACATGCACTTTTCCTTGCTCTAATATGCATCACAGACAGGCCTCATCCAAGATGATTTACTCACTGGCAGTATTAAAAGCCCCAGACTGACTGCCTAACTGCTCCATGCTTTCCATCCATCTCCACCAATGCACATTCACCTCATCCTCCCACGCCAAAAGAAAAATCTGAGCAAACAGATGGACTTTTCAGCACACTTGGATCAAGAGGGAGATCACGTTTCTGAGCGAGGAACCCCTCAGAGAAGTTGTCTTGTTGCCTGCCCCCTGCTAATTCAGTACAGTTGACCTCCTCAAAGTGCCGTGCAAACATGGACTAATTAATCCCTAAACCACCCGGGRACTCGACACTATTATTAAAACAGTTGCTTTCCTTTCAAAACCTCACCTTCTAATCCCTTTGCTTGGGCCTCTCCCCTCATCTTGCTCTCTGGCTTTCCCTCTGGGTCTGAACCAAAAGCCCACTGAAGAAACAAGGRTCTATCCCCATTAACGACAAGCCAGGAGTGATTCATCTCCACTAAATGTGCAACCACAGTCCAAGCACAAAGCAGAAACGAGCACTTTCCTGTATCWCTTTCAGACTGGCAACAGGCATCAGAGGGGAGCAGAGCCTTACGATTCTGCCTGAGGTTTTCACACAGCCTCCTTGTACTTCTCAGGGCACTCCTCGGGGATTAAATGCACATTCCTGAAAAAGTAACAGCTTCCCTCCTCTAAACACTGCTTGAATGTTCTGATTTTGTGCTAGAAACACATGACACCTGTGTTACTAGAAAATAAAGAGGAAACCTATTTCCCTTGTGTAAATAGTGCACACTTTAGAGCTAGAGGTAAGTTCAGCTTTCAGCAGTCCCAGGGGAACTCCACTAGAATTGGTCAACTGCTCTGGATTTCAGGTAAAAACATGCCTTTTCTTCAACCTCTTTCAGTTTGCAGACCTCAAAAAGGTCCCAGTGGAAACAAAAACTTCTTTGTAGACTTCTAAGCCTCTTGACAAGAAGTTTGCATTTCTTAGCTCTCTTTCATAGATTTCTTAGGCAGAAGGGCTAGACTTTAAGTGGTCTCTGCTGGCCACAGGCTGCACAGAGGTAGGGTTAATGTAAGATRACCAGTACCCCCTTGGAAGAAAAAAAAGGATGTTTCACTTTTGGAGTTGTCCTGGAAGATCAAGGAACTGTAATTATGAGGCTGATCTATTCCTGAAAAGGGAGAAAAAGACTGAAGGGGAGCGGAGTCCAGATCAAACTGCTAGAGCTGTGCATCCTCCACGAGTTTAAAAGAACTCAGGCATCCCGGCCGTGTCTGCTGTTCCTGTTTCATTCTTTGAAAGCTGCCTGGGTTTTGAATCGGCAGCGTGTCACTACAGGTCAGCCCTGGCAAATACGTTTCACTATTAGATGAAAAACTTGACCAAGAACTGAAATTGCTTTTTCAATGGTGGGCAGCCAAGCCCACGCAGCTGGGAAACCCTTGAAAAGGTCTAAGTCTCCACAGCTGCCTGAACCTCCACACCTCCCATAAAGAGTATTTCCCATCATTAGTTATACTATGATTGGGACACTGTACAAAGAATATACCTGCCAATAGGTGAGTTGAGATGCAGCTGAAATGTTAACTTTCCATTTCCTGCTTTAATCCACACTTGCTGTGGATTAATGTGACATTTTCAGTTTTTATTTTATATTATACTGCAGGGATAATGTAAAACATCAGAGTTTAGCATTGTGTTGCTTCTGTGTGTAGGGGCTTTATGGCAGCAGATAGCTATGTTTTTATAAAAGTATTTACCTTATTTGAACTTTATATGAAATGAAAACGGCTGACTCCAAAGTAACGAGTACAAAAAAGGGGGCACTTCTGTAAAGGAAAACAAGGACGAACAACTTTGCCAAAGAGAACTCTCCAAGAAGAAAAACGAACYATGTTTATATAGGAAGGGCTCCCTAAACGCGCATGGAAAGGAAGCAGGCACCCGGCTTGCTTAAAGAGCCCTTGGCTACCAAGCCAGACCATAGMGAAGTGTCTGCTGCGAGGAAAGCAAAGCGTGAGCAGAGCCGAGCGGTGCCTCCAAGGCACGGGAGGCGCCGCTCTGCTTCAGGCAGGGGAGGAAGGAGGCCCAGCAGCGCAGCGGAGCGCACGCAGCACTCACCTGCCCACAGCAGCAGCAGCAGCGGCGCACGCGGCTCCATGGGGAGGTCGCTCTCGTCCACGCGCTCTCCCGCACGCTCCGCCGAGCCGACRCGGGGCTGGATTTACGTCTTCCCGGACTCGGGGTTTATATACACACGTGTGAGTGTGTGTATAGGGGCGAGTCACTCTCCCCTGCGACCTCCCTGAGGCCGCGTCGAGCCCCGTCCGACCTCCCCGTGGGCTCTGGTGTGTGCCGGAGAGCTGGACACGGGACGGCTGCYGCTGTTTGCATATCAGTGCCTTGGGGAGGGGCTGCTGGCAGGGCTTAGCCAGCAGTGCCTGGGAAAGCCTGGGACAGCCAGGCACTAAGCCGGGCTCCTTTCCCTAAGCTCCTTGCGTACAGACCCCGGTTAACCTCTGAGGACCTTCGGGAAAGGGAAGCCTGCCCTGTGCCGCCTGTGGCTTGGGTTTTCTGCTGTGGTGGCAACCTGGCAAGGATTTTCTCTTTTTATAGGTAAATCCTCCCGTGGTTTTTAATGTTTTTACTTTTTATTTTAAGACTGATTATTTTTCACTTTTAAAAAAGAAGAGACAAAACTATAGAAGCCCAACAGAAAAAATACTGTGAGACGCAAGCATCTAATTATAAACTGACCAACAGGGCTAATTCTGGGCCACTCCTGCGGGGAAAATATCCTCTCAGCCTATTGCTGCACCTGAGMCGAGCTCAGTAATTTCCTGCGGACTCGTCAGGAGGCAGCTCACAGACACTGGTGGTTAGGAGAGCTCCCCGGGGCCCGCCGCGCGCAGGTCACGCTGCGGGCGCAGTCACAGTGGGCAGACAGGCTGCAGAAGCAGCCTCCCTGCCRCACACCCTTCACTTTAGTGGAGCTGGAGGCAACATGAAACCAGGGGATGGCGACAATCGTTTTGCCTGTGGCAGTAGAGCAGTTAGAGCTGGCCTACCAGCGGTTGAAAGCTCCTGCCACGCTGGGCCTATTTCAGCAGCGCTCTGTGCTGGGGCTCCTCATGCTAGAGCCGTGCCTGCCTGTTTAATGACACATTCTTAAATATTTGCTTGCTAAATATTCCTATTTGAATGAAAGGTCAGCAACAAGGGCTGCCTTCTGTGGAAAGGAACCTGCCCGCAGCAGCAGGCATCTTTTGCCATGAAGGCTTCAAGAAAGAGTCTCTACTGGGCACGTCTAATGGTATGGAGCAAGGTAGACCCCAGAACTGGTTGAAGAGCTCCCATCATCTAGTTGAGCTAGAACTAAAACAGTCACCAAGCTCTGGTGTTTTCCTCTCCTGGGAGCTTAGAAGGGCGAGTACAATCTTTACTTTAACTGTATGTGATATAAGCACCAGGCCAGCTCCTGGTTGGTCCTGGTGCCACAAGGTGAGCCCACCGCAGGGGCGGCCCGGTGCGGGCTGCAGCTCTTCCGCAACTCCGGAGGGGTGGGATAAAAGCCATACAGCTACACCTCCTCCCCTGGAAGATCCCCTTAGTATTTATACATTTATGGAAATAATAGTCCCAAATCTTATTTGAGTGATGGCTGGTTAATATTTAAGCCTAACAACAGGGCTGTGTGGAAGGAGGGTGCCCGAGGGCAAATGTGCCTAATGCTGGGCTGTGCGGCTGAGGGATGTCCAAATAGGAAGTGTGGAGAAGGCCGGTGGGATGAGCAGCGTGAGGCCTTTCTGGTMAAGGGCTGAGAGGAACATAGCTTAAAAGTTATATTTAGTTCTACTGACTTCAGGCTGAAGCTTAGATCTCCTTATCTACACAGTCTACTGCTTGGCTTGCGCTCTAATTCTGATCTGTAATATGTTAGCTAACTCTCTACATAAGGAAATGAGAGCCTAGAGCAAGGAGCAAGCTAACATTCAGATGTGAAAATAGGAATGTACACCCCATGGAAAACCTGAACCTCTGGGAAGATAATGAGCTGCCACACAGGAAGAGGAACCTGCAGCTTAGTTTTGACAGCTGATCTATCACTCTAACCAGCCTTCCAAACCAGGCACTGAATGCTCAAGGCATCTCCTCTATGGCTTTGATTTGTCTGAGTCATTTAGRTTTGAATACCTACATGTAATGTGTTTATTTCAAAACCTTCTTGAATTACAAATCCAACCAAAAAGCACATTTTATATTTCTAGACCATAATTTAATTCCATTTTTTTCCTTTCTTACRGTCTTCTCTTTCCACAATAAGACTTTTTCCCCAGTTCAGTAATAAACATACAATAAAGAAATATAGACTCCTTTGACGGCCAAACATATATGCAACATTTGAAGAAGAGTTCTCTAGGTTATTAAGAAAAGATGCCAAACTCGATCTTTAAGGGGAAAAGCAAACTGATATGTTGTTTCCCTGTTATAGTTACACAGCTGACTGGTTATTTATCTGTGTAATTACTGACTGCCGTTGCCTAGATTAATTAGCATATTTATTAGAGTATTGAGTGTTAATTGTGGCTTTACTATGTTATGGTAAGGGCACTGAGAACATGAGCGCACGTTATTACTCTTTGGGGGAATAAAATAAATTCCATGATCTTGCCTCTTCACATGTATTTACATGTTATCTGCTCAAGCTTCACTTCTCACTACTAGCAACGAGCACTACAATTAGGTTTAGGATACAGTCTCAATAAACTGAGCTATTAGACAGATTAGTAGCTATTTCTAATTCCAAAAGGAATAAATTTACTTCGATCCTCAGGTCGCTTGCTCGCGACAAGCTATAGTGTCCGAGGGCTAGTTCTTCAGAAGAACTAGCTCCACTGGAAAGAGCATTCCCTTGGTTTGCACCACCAAAGTAGGTGGCCCTCAGTTTCATGGTTTCAAGCTTCTTGCTGAAGGGGCTAATAGGGAAAAGTCTTAGGCAGAAAGATTATAGAATTTACATGGACTTTACTAGTGTTTAATAGTGCTTACCTGATGATGTTCAAGGTGTCAGATTTTCCCACAAAACTTGGTTGACCTTCACCCCATAGAGGTTGTTATTCTTCAAGGCGAATACTCAGCCATCTCTGTGAATGCCACCACCACCTGCAAGAAGTCTCTGCTGAGCATCAGCACATTCAATGACACTTCTACTGCCCAGGCCAAGGATTTTTCCCAGGAGTAACAGAGGAAGCCTTCCTACAACACTATGGATGTTAGTGGTTCCTTAGAGAAACTGCCCTTCCAAATGTTTATTTGGTTATAGAGGATGAATAAGAAGGCTCGAGAACACAGAATGACAGTTTGGATTAGAGAAAAAAAAAAACAGTTCTAGAAGGAAATGAATTCCACATCAGCTGTTACAAGATAAAGCAACAACCTATGTCTACCATTATGATTTAGTGACATAACCAGTAATATAAGCAACAGAGTWAATACAGCAGCATAGTAAGCAAGTAAATAGTCTTTAATATACTGTTATATGGTCTCTTTGTGCTGTAGTGATGATACAGCCTAGTCACATTTTCGTTGGGAAAGACAACACTATTAACTCCAGTTTATAATTCAAATCCAAGAGAAAAGTTTTAAGAGYGGCTGCTAGTTTGAGAGTATCCAGTACATATCTGCCTCAGGTTTCACTGCTGCTAACCCACTTCATGACAACCTGATGGTGGCATTTCGAAACAGTGAAGCTGAGTAGTACCAGCCTGCTGCATCTTCTTTAAGACAGTGGCTGATTTTGTCTACCATGACACACACACATTTACAGATACCTCAGGTAACAAAGAAGTAGGAACATCACTCAGGCTTTCTTTGTCATTTCTCCCAGCATGGTGCTAAGTTTGTTGTCTCAGATAGTACCAGCACCTGAGGTGACCATGGGGAACCTTCCCGTCAGAAGGCAGTCCCACATGAAAGGTGCCCCTTCAGCACACTTATTTGCAGTCCACCTATGCAGGATCTTCCTTCTGGTCTCTTGCCAGCTGCAGAAACAGGCAGGAAGAGCTGACATGAGTGTACATGTCCCAAGTTTGAGGAAAAGGAAAGAAAAGAAGCAGTTCATGCAAGTAGATACTGGTAGATGGTGAAGGAGTAGTTACTTCTTTGTTAGCACTGCAAGATGCAGTGTAAACACCATGGGCTACATGATGGAGGAACATCTATTCCCTACCCAACAGGCTCCCTTTCCCTTGTTGTGGCTGCCACTAGGCCCTGTAAAGATCTGTAACCCCTCAAATTCTGTTCATGGCATGAGACTCAGAGCTGAATCTCTTCACATATCCCTTCCCTGGCTTATGTAGACATGGTGACTGGCCCAGTCAGCCCCTGCTGCTCTCTGACTCTTTACCAGGTGCTTCATTCTCTCATTGCTACACAAGGCATGACTTTTCTGACTTTAGCTGTCTTATTATCACAGACATTAGTGACACCATCTTATATACTCAGATCATTGGAAATATTCATGACTTGGTTTGCTTTGCTTGTGACCCCCCATTTCTGGTTCAAACGAGCAGTTACTCTGCCATGTGGGCAAAACAGACAAAGAATGCAGGACAGGCTAGCTCAAAAACTGAGAGACCCTCCAGGAATAGTTGGACTTAGTGTTATTAGACATGGACGTCATGTTATTAGAATGTTTGTCAGGGCAATGAGGTCGCTGTCCTGAAAGGCTTCCAAGATTGGCATGTCCCTTAGTCACAAGTAGCCAAGACTTCTTCCAWCAAAAATGCATCATTTCCCAGCAATGCGGTGCATCTTAACATCACCATCTGGGGGCATTGCAGACAGTACAAAGGAGGGAGAAGATCATCTCTTAGGAGATAYCTTGATGTCTGTCTGGAGAAATGTAAGAATAACTGAGAATAAGCATGTTTTATAAACTGAATGCATCTAGACAGGTGTCTCTCTTTATAAAGCTCCCATGACATCTCCCACTTACAAGAGAGGAAATACTACTAAAAATGCAATACCTCTAAAACCAGAAAAGGCTGAATAAAGGGTCCTTATTTAAAAATTGACACTATCTCAGGCTGCTTAGCTTATGAGATTCACCAAGATGCAAATCTGCTTGATCTGAYTGAAGTCTTACCAAATGCAGGCACT